ATCTCCTTTCGTCATTTCTATTGTCTTCTCCTTCCATCTAGCTGTAAGTAAAGCCAAATACTCCTTACGAAATCGAACTCTGAAATCTTCTCTCAACTTTTGTAAATATTTGTATCTTACATTTAAATTCATATTATCTACATAACCTAAATCAGAAGTATCATTAGAAGGTAAGCCATGTAGAAATAACATAGGTGTAAGTGGCCGCAGATCATCGGTACAAGTCGAGACATATGTTAGTGGCCGACTATTAATGACAGCTTCACAATCGCACAAGACTGTGTCCAACTCTACCCAAGTCAATCGCTGACGCCCCAATATTCTTCGCAACATCTCCTTTAATACTCTAATGAGCCTCTCCCACCAACCTCCCCACCAAGGAGTTCTAGGTGGAATAAAACGCCACTTTATAGCATGGACTGCCGTCACACTTTCAACCTCCTGCCAATTAATATCCTTCAGTAAATTGGCAGTCCCTCGAAAATTTGTTCCGTTGTCCGTGAAAATGACGTCTATACGACCTCTTCGAGCAATAAATCTACGAAGACTCATAATAAAACTATTTGTGGACAATGAGTCCACCATCTCTATATGCATAGCCCTAAATGTCGCGCAAGTAAATAAAACCACCCAACATTTCTCTTGATTACGTAAATACAACGGCCCGGCCAGATCTATACCTGTCGTTTGAAACGCTGCCGTGCCTTGAATCCGTTCAAGAGGGAGTGGTGTCTCCGGTGTATCATAATGTATGCCCTTTCGCCTACGACAAATTATGCATTTCTTAACTATATCCTTACATAGCCATCTCACACTTGTAATCCAGAATCTGTTTCTCAGCTCTGACATTAAAGTATGTGATCCAATGTGCTTTAAGTATATATGTTTCTCTTCAATGACATTTTTCCCTGGTAATAATATGGGACTCGAAAAATCTTTATCATAATTTCCTAAACCTAATCTAGTCTTTACTCTCATAATACTTCCTTAAATACGATTCGCATTCGTCACATTCTTCATCAAATTGCTCATCCGTGCAAGAATCGATCGTCATATTTTTTATTTGACTGTCAAAAGATTTTAACTCTTCCAATTTCTCTACAAGATACTGAAATTCGACAGTCATCTGCTCAATATCATTCGACTCTTCTATCTCTCGCACTGACCTGATGAATACTCGACGTGTGTATGCCCTTTTACGCCTCATAGCGTCGAGTTCGGTTTGTCCAGGTCTATCCGCTTTCACGGTCGCCATTATGTGGGGAGTTTCTGTATGACCGTTGTATGTAGCTCCTCACATTGAAATAAGAAGATTTCTTAGACTTGAAACATTTAATCTTCTAACAAAATATACTTATTACGAAAAACTAGTCTTACATTTTTCTTGTTATTTTTCGTAACCATGACAACAACTTACAAGATATAAAAAACCTAAAAGAGCCGTAGACAATATATATTTATCCTCAACACTTAATTGATCTCAATTTTTAACTGACCTCATGTTGTTTGATTTGCTATGTAACTTGTTATACTTTATTTTGCTACAAATTTATGCCTTAATTATGTTCTAACAGTAAATGGTTTTTATTGACCATTGATTTTTATAGATTTTATTGAAAAATGGTTTGGTACTCAATTATTATTTTTAGTTTTTAGATTGGTAGTTTAGTACTTGATCTATAATATTCCTAATACTTAAGTAAAATAATATTAATATTCTAATAAATAACGAAAGATTAATGATTATTTACTACGGAGACTGATTTGATAAGCTTACAATTAGAATAATTATTCATAAAATTAGTCACCATTACTATTGATACTGTTGCGCGCCACTATTAATGTCTTGTACATGGCAACACTAGTCAACACTAGCGCCCTCTAGTGTCGAGTAGCAGAACTAGGAGAGTCAATATCCTTCTAGAAATTTCGGGACCGATATGTACTGGAACATTCTAGATGTCTCTTCAGTAGAAGGTTCTGGGAACTATCTCAGGCCATATATAAGGCCGGTATAGACCACGACCGAGGCAGTATTGAATTGGCGATACAAGAAAATACTTCGAAGCGAAACAACTGCGAACTTAAGTGATCAGTAGTACAATTGTGTTTTATTATTAGTGTGGTTTTAGATTGTAATTAGTGTTGTGTAATTAAAGTGTCAATTTTGGTAATTCAATCGGCAGTTTTTAATTGTCTCGAACCCCAAGCTCGTAACAATACTAATAGTTAAACACTGCCAAAGATAACTTTCAAACAATAAAAAATACATAACTATGTATTCTTTTGTTTTATTTTTCGATATTTCGCAACTAATCCGAAATTAGTGGTGTAATTTAAAAAAAAATTACATCGTTTTTATGACTTTTATGACTACAACTAGTCACTGGTTCTGCAGTAATAATAGAAAGAAGAATGACACTAAACAAATTTTCATAAAAAAATCAACATTACAAGTCAAAGAAATAAATAATAAAAAGTAAACTATAATATTAAAATAGTATTCTATTATTTTTAGTGAAAACAGCATCAAAAAATGGTTTCGAAGTCAAAAACTGCAATGGTGTCATTTTTTCATACTTTAAAATGCTTTTTCCTTAAAACTACATGTTATAAGTCAGTTTTTAAAAATTCATATTTATTTTTAATGAATGTTTCAACACCCTCGAAACCCATGAAAATGACATCCATGATGAAAAAATTGATACCTATTGCGGCTGCCACCTTGGATTTACATTTCGACAGCACTATCGGCTTCAACACCCGCGAAAACCATGAGAATGACACCCATGATGAAAAAATTGATATCTATTGCAGCCGCCACCTAGGATTTACATTTCGACAGCACTATCGGCTTCAGCACCCTAGAAAACCATGGAAATGACACCCATGATGAAAAAATTGATACCTATTGTGGCCGCTATCTTGGATTTACATTTCGACAACCATTCAGCTTCAATTCTCTCGAAAACCATGAAAATGTCACCCATGACAAAAAAATTGATACTACTTACTTTTAGTACGTACTACTATTATTTATTCTGTGCTTTTAAAATATTGTAATAAAAAAATTTCTTATTATTATTATAATCAAGTATTTAAGAAATTTGGTTATTCGAATATTGTGTATTTGTATAGCAATCTTTTTGAGCCGCTGCAAACAACCGAAACAATGTCCACTCACGACGGCGACTGACGCCGTGACTGGCTGTAGCTCCCTATTTACAGAAATAATTTACATACAAGGCTACCAAATCAACGAAAATTTCGCCATTTTGGAGCCGAAAAAAATTAATTATAGCTAAACAAAACAAAATTACAATGCCATAATTTACATTCAGTGGCTTACCACATGATAGATGAAGAGATTAAAAAATAGATTGAATTAAACAATTGATATTTTCAAAAGTTATCGTGTTTACAAGCCTTGGGGACATGATAAATCCATCATAAGCCATTAAAACCCCTTTTTTATTTAAAAATAGCAATTAATCGATTTAAAAATATATTAATAAGTTCAACAATCATTTATCTTTCTAACAATGTGCTTTTTATATCATTTATATGTATAATATGATTGCTAGATAAATATACATATATAACATGATAAAACGTTGGAATGTTAATTTTTAGGCGATAATAGAACATACCTTGCGCTTTCGCATAAGGCATGCAATAGACAATTAATTACCGTGTATGTCCGATGATATTATTACACAGGGCGATTCTGGTCATTGACCTTATTTAAAGGTAAATACAACATAAATATAATTATATGCTCGATAAAAATAATAAATAAATATATTTCAATTACAAAAGTATAAAAATGCATATACAAGAGCAGAAAGGAGTAAACAAGTAAGTGATATAAAAGCCTTGACGTAAGGAAAAATAAGCAAAAATTTTGAAATGAAGGATGTAATGGAGAATTCCCGCATTTGTTCGACAGGATAAGGTTGCAAACAATCTATGCGAACGTGTAGACCTCATTAATGATCGAGGTGTTACGCTATAACAAAGTTTGTTTGTTATTTCTATAGTCATATCTATTATGAGTAACGTCATGTAATAAATTACTTCAAGGTATGTGCGTCTAGATTTAAGATCAATTAAATCGTATTTCTTTAGTAACAGATTATACGATAAGCGTTTACAATGTATGTATCGAAGATATTTCTTTTCTTTCCTTCCAAGCATATAATTGTACTAGCTTTTGCCCGCGACTTCGTCCGCGTGGAGTTCGGTATTATCGCGCCCATGTGTGAAAAAGAGTCTGCTGGTACAAGCTACAATTATAACTGGATGTCGCGGGCAAAAGCTAGTAAGCTACAAAACTTCTCTATACACCACATTTTTTGCTAATCAATTGCTGTGTGCCTAAATTATCAGCCTACTGGGTGAGCTTACTCGTGAGCAAGCCACATAGAATTGCTCGTGTGAAAAACAATTTTCTCTCAAGTCTATACCCGCAAATTTTAATGTCTGCCCTTGTGATTTGTTTATGGTCATTGCAAAGCAAACTTTGCGGGGAAACTGTATTCGTTTGAATTCAAAGGGAATATCATTCGCGATCAAGGGAATTCTTGGTACAAATACAGTTTCCCCTTGCGCACATTCAGTTATAATTGTGGCTTCCGCTACATTGCGATGTAACGCTTTTACTTTTAATCTGGTTCCGTTGCACAATTGAGGAGGTTTAAAATTTCGCAACAACATAACGGGAATGCCCACGCGCAGAATAAGCTTATGATGTGGAAGACCCCATGGTTTCAGTGAATTAAGAAATTCGACAGGGTAGTTAATTGCGTCATCTGTGTTGACCCCACAGAATCTATTGACGTGTACACCATTTCTTCCCCCTCAAAAGACGTTAACAGTATATCGTTAATTGCCACTGCTTAGTCGTTTTTTGGGGTTAGTATGGCACGTTCACACAACCCTTCCATTGGCTTATCGTGGATATGAGAAATATCTGGGTAAATTTTGGGTATTAACTCCTGTTACGTAAATACAACTGTGCACAAATTATCAGGGATGGTTATCATTAAGTAATTTATCGGGTAATCACCATTGCCCATTTCAAGTAGGAGATTCGCAAATCCACCAGCAGACTCTTTTTCTCCTAAGTGTACCCGCATATTTTTCGAGACCTTGAGGATTTTAATTAGAGGCCATAAAGTGGATCGCTTAAGACACGCCTTAACTTCTTCTGCTCTAGTTCCTTTTGGCACTACTGGTAGAATCTGTCTAAAATCTCCAGCCAGCAAAACCGTGACACCACCCATTAACCTCTTATTTCCTCCCTTATCTTGTAGAGATCTGTTTAAAGCCTCTACGCCACCCTTATGAGTCATGGTTATTTCATTTCACTATCATTTTCGTATGTTTTAATACTTTAGCAAAATTACTTTGTTTCGATATATTACATATGGGAATACATAGGCTGCACTAAAAGTATCGGAAATGGATTATTTCCACTGTTCCTGTCATATTAAAATCTTTTTAATTGAAAACTCCTTGGTTTTAAAAATCGAATACCATTTATTTATTTAAAAAAAAGATTCTCGGTCTTGTCACAAGGTTTTGTCAAAATTGTTTAGTCGTTGAGAAAATGGAATTGACTCGAGAAAATTCAAGAGCGATGATTTATTATGACTTTCGAAGTGGTTTAACACAAAAACAGTGTGTTGACCGGATGATTTCTGCATTTGCTGATGAAGCCCCATCCAAAACCACAATTTATCGTTGGTTTGCTGAATTTCAACGTGGACGTGTCAAGCTCAGTGATGATCCCCGTCAAGGTCGTCCAAAAACTGCAGTCACCCAAGAAAACGTTGATGTTGTGCGTAAGCTGATTGAGGAAGATCGACATGTGACATACCGCGAAATTCAGGCAACTTTAGACATTGGCATGAGTCAAATACAAACAGAGATTTAAAATATATATTTACTATAGAGCGGTCATTGGGAAAATTTATATACAAAAACTTTAAGCTCGTGCGTGTGTGACGCCCTCTAGTTAAAAATAGCAAAACTACGCTATCATTTATTAAGACAACATTTTAGCTACTCCCCAGTAGTTGACGCTTAAAATATAAGAACGTTTTAGGAATGTTACCCTTTCGATACCAAAGTATCGATAATGTTGTTGAAGGTTACTAAGTTTGAAACGCTTTAAAATATAATAATAGGGAATAAAATGATTGTTTCATTGTATAAATCTATTTATCATGACTTCCCACACGAAAAAAATCACTTTAACTTTTTATGCCTATTTAGTGACATGAAATAAAATATTAATTTCCAATAACTAAGAATCAATTCAAACAGCAGTCACTTTGGTTGCCGCCTTGGTGGCATCTTGGATGACGTCACTTGGTCCATTAGAAGCTATAATAATAGCATATGATTGGTCAATCGGCGTTGAAGTCACATCAAGAAACGCCAAATTCAATAAAGAGAGCGCCTCTATGTTTTTAAATTCGGTTCTTTTACAAAAATACACTTCAAATCTAAAATATTTAGGAAAACACTGAACTTAAAAGCCGTTTCACGATAAATCATTTTATTAATTTATATTCATACATTCATATAAAAAATACGCTGGTATGTTATGTGCCAATATTCTTCAAAGAGATTTATACTCAACAACTTGAGACATTACTGACTCAGTGTAAGAAAGCATAGTGAGGAATACTGAACATTAAAATCTGAAATCACGAACATGCACTAAGACACTACCCACATCAATAAAAATTGTTATTTTAAGTTTTTACCTTATTTTCTAACTCAGGTTTAACCTACAACTTCTTGAATGTAATATCTTTAACAGTACAATTTTTTTTAATGTCACAAGCCTATAGCACTCTCCTATCACCGTAAGCCAGGATCTTTAATGGTTTTGTCCTTGAATACCACCAGACAATGAAGCCCGGTATGTAAAAGAGAAGACTTGCTGTATTGCTAAACATCAACACAGCAAGTATCCCCAACATGTTCATAAGCAACACAGAAAATCTCATCATCATGCCTAAAAAAATTTCCCACCCTTCGACATAAAGTAGGCTACTTAGCATAGTTGGTATATGCTACTCATTTTTGTTGGTATGGGTACAGTATCTTTGACTGTTTTACCTCCTTAAATATTGTAAATGATGAAATCGGCATCCTGTATATTATTTTTATCGATAACCCCAATCGATAAACGTCGTAAATCACTAACTTTAAAATAAATAGTGGCGCTACAGGATAACAGAGGGCGCTTAGTACAATAAAAATAAAATTTCTAGAACAATCTACTAAAAATAATAAAATTTAAAGATTATTCGGTAAATATACGTTATACTTACGATAACAAACCAAAATCACGTTCATTTTTTGCTCCATATCGTGACTTACAATATCTTAATGCACAACCGGGCATATTTTCTATAAAAATATTTTTTAAAGATATGAAAAGAATGCGTCTTGACTTTATGACGATGTCACTAAGACTAACGGAGATATATCCTATAGGACATAAGTTACAGATGACAATTTTGCTGCTGATGTCCGGTCTATTACTACTACTACTTAAATGTCTTTGAATACAAATAATGAACAATTAGGTGTAAAAAAGTTGTTTTCCCGTTGGATACCGCATTCGCTCTGTGAAGAGCAAAAAGCGGCTCGCGTTACTTGGTGCGTCAGAACTCTCGAAAGATTCCACGCAGGATCCTCAAATGCTGTATACAACATCGTATCAGGTGACGAATCCTGGATATATGCGTACGAACCCGAAACAAAAAACCAGTCACGAGTTTGGGTGTTCGAAAATGAGTTAAAGCCAACAAAAATTGTTCGTTCACGGAGTGTTGCAAAAAAAATGGTGGCCACGTTTGTCTCCAAAACGGGCCATGTTACGACTATTCCTCTTGAGGGACAAAGAACGGTTAATGCAAAATGGTATGCTAGTATATGTTTGCCACAGGTCGTTTCTGAACTCCGAAAAGAGAACTGCAACCGCCGCATCATCCTCCATCACGACAATGCGAGTTCTCACACCGCACACAGAACAAAAGTGTTTTTAGAGCAAGAAAACATAGAATTATTAGACCATCCGCCGTACAGCCCCGACCTAAGCCCTAATGATTTCTATACTTTCCCTAAAATAAAGAATAAATTGCGTGGACAGAGATTTTCATCACCTGAAGAAGCTGTGGACGCCTACAAAACGGCCATTTTGGAGACCCCAACATCCGAATGGAATGGTTGCTTCAATGATTGGTTCCATCGTATGGAAAAATGTGTCAAATTTCGCGGAGAATACTTCGAAAAGCAATAAATACATTTTTAAATAGTAAAGTTGTGTCACTTCCTTGATTCCCGAAATTTTCAGAGCCGCCCTCGTATCGGCTGTTGTTAAATTGAGTGGTAACTTGAAGGTAGCATGAGCAGTTCGTCGACCCTCGAGCAGTGTAGCTGCGATCCCAGAAGAAGCCTAACTTTTGCTAATAGCAAATTTATGAGGAATGTTTTGCCTGTTCCACCGGGAGCATCTAAAAATAATGTTCTACCCTCATTTGATTCAATTTTTGTGTTAATTTGATTGTAAACTGCTTTTTGTTCGTCATTCAGTGTTCTCATTATTTTCAACTGTGTTTTCTAATGATGTTAAGTCGTAACTTGTCTCTTTAAGAAACTCTCTATTTTCAAATTATTGTTCTTTGCTTGGCTGAGGTAACCCATGCCCTTATAGTAACCACCCGACGTTAATACGGCATCTTCTATTACCAAAAGGCATTTGTTAAATAAAACATCTCTTATGTGCTCTACATCCACATCTCCCTGGCTTTCTAATTGCCTTTTAAAATCTTCGGATAGGTAATCTTTGAATTTCTCCCAAAGGCTTAAAGGGTCTGATACTTGGCAGAACACTAAAATAATCGTAAAAAGATCCTGAATATTTTACGGTGATTGGCAAAGTGCTGCCTCTTCCATTGCTGCGAACAAATGCTGATCATCTTCAAGCAAGCCGAGAGCTTTACACGCTGATTGGAACGTGGAATATACATGACCATCTACAGTTTTTAACGCTTCAAACGAAATTGGGCCCCGGATCTCATAAAGAAGCATGCGAAGGTGATAGCATTCCGTATTGTTCGGATGCACAGTATAAACCCTGCCCAGAACGTTCTCTTTTTTGACTCCTGGCCAGTCTTCAACGTTTGCTCCTCTCTTTCTCCTTTGGAACTTTCTTTTATCCCAAACGTAGTATGCAATTACTTCTAGGTAGAGCAATATTTTTGCAAAGTTATCCACTTTACACAAATTGAAAAAGGATAGGAGTGTGGTTGTTGGAGGACTATTCACTCTCTCACTCAGATTTTGCTCATTAAAATAATCCCTTTGTCCATTTTCCAAATGGACTACGGGAGGAAAACGCTCATGAATGGAAAATTCAAGGATTCACCATACTGCCGCTGATGAACTTACATAAATATCTTCCACTTGTGTAGGTTTTAAGTTAATCCTTCTCATTCTCTAACGCAAACGATGCCTGGTCTGAACCTTTATTTACGTATTTACAGACGTATTTTATTGATTTAAAATTTTTAAATGTTTTTAATAATACTGGATTATAAGGGATTACCCAGCGATTATCTATGGATGTGCCTTTGATATCAACAGAGAACCCACCGTCATCTAGTAAACGTCTCTTGTACTGCAGATAACCGTCTTCACCAGTTTGAGTTTACCTTTTGAGAGGCCTGGGGTATCGTTTACTGCACATATTATCTTTCATACATGGTGACTTTCGATTTAAAGTTCCACATGGACCATGTATCATATTACATTTAACGATTTCGTGAAGCTTTGGGTCACGTTTGGGATCCAGTATTTCAGCACAAATTATATATTGTCGATTTGATCCGGAGTAATGCGTTTGTGAGGCCATAAAAGAATATGAATGCTGGAAGACCTCTTTTGCCATTCCGTTGAGTATATATGGCATCGCACTTCACCACATATTTTGCCCTTTGTCAATAAGTTCATGATGTAATTAATAGAATCAGGCGTTACTTTGCGGAAATCCATTATATAAAAGCTTTTAGAAAAATTTACTTCGCAAAGATTAGCGGTTAGCCACCGTAGAGTCTATATCACCTGAGGATGCCTCGTGTAGAGGCGAAACACGTGTCGTATTATCGTCAGTGGTGTGTCTTGCCTAGTGTAGTGGTGTTGGGAGTAGCGGTGCTGGGATTAGTGGTGACGGGGATAGTGCACGCAATTGAGGGAGGGCGGGAGGTGCTATTCATACTAGGTAAGACACATCATTTTATTTTATAACGGGGATATTTGCGAAGTAAATTTTTCTAAAAGCTTTTATAAGTTCATAATGTTTTTCACCTTTAGTCGAAACATCCTCGAATTTTCCATACAAACTTTTAACCCCCTTTTCACCCCCTTAGGGGGCGGATTTTCAAAAATTCTTTCTTAGCGGATGCCTACTTCATTACAACTTTCTGTATGCCTAATTCCAGCCAAATTCGTTCAGTAGTTTCGGCTGTTAATAGATGAGTCAATCAGGTTTGCCTTTTATATATTATATAGATTTAAGTAATAGAATGCAGAAAGTTATTGTCAATGGTAAAACTTCTTCCTGGTTACCTGTAATAATGGGTGTCCCTCAGGTTTCGAATTTGGCCCATTCCTATTTCTTATGTATATTAATGACTTACCTTCCCTTGTATAATCATGATAAAGCATTATTTGCTGATGATACTTCCTTGATTTTAAACTTAAACGTCAATCATTTAAATGTGACGAAGTGAATAATGCTATATCAAAATCAGTGCATTGGTTTAACGTTAACAATCACATTTAAACGGAAATAAAACTAAACGTACTAAATTTACAAGATCGAATGTTAAAAATCTGAATACCAATGTGTTTTGAAATGGCGAAGAACTGAGCCCTGTTGAAGCCACTGTTTTTCTTGGCATCACTCGACGCAAAGATTCAGTGGGGCCCACATAGCAAGCAGACTAAGTTCTGCAGCCCATGCTTTAAAAAAGATTAGTGGTCTCACTAGTGTCGAAACAGCTAGATTAGTTTATTTCAGTTATTTCCATAGCATAATGTCTTATGTTATTTTGCTATGGGGAAATGCGGCAAATCCAGAAACTATTTTTGTTTTACAGAAGAGGGCCATTAGAGCTATTTACACCTAAAACCGACAGTGTCTACGAGATAAATTTAAAGAAATAAATATATTAACTTTGGCCTCTCAGTATATTTACGAAAATTTAATTATGTTAACATAAACAAAGGTAGTTTTAGTAAAAAAAGTGATATACACTCTGTAAACACTAGGAACAAACACAAGCTAGTGATACCAGTTTCTCGACTCCACAAAGTCAGTAATTCATTCTTGGGGCAATGTATACGCATACAACAAGGTCCCGGAAAGTGTACAGCCCCTATTACCAAGTATGTTTTGTTAAGCTGAAACTGTATATAAAGGGTTATTATAATATAAATCAATACATGGCTGATAATAACCTCTGGGAATGAGGTGATTTACTTTAAGAAAGTCCCGCTGGGTTTCTTGCTGGTTCTCCCCAGGACCGAGGGCTTTTTCGAACCAGTAGTAAAGTAAAAAATGACTTTCAATAAGAATTACACATGTGATCTAAATTCAATAAAAAATTATTCTATTCTATTCAATGGTTCTCGTAGCCTGTTCCAGGAGTCCAGGAATTACGTTCTGAAATTTAAAAAATATTGTAGTGGCAATCTGAGTATTGTTAAGAGTGAGGGTAGATTACTAATAAGCTTTTAAATTCCCCCACTTGTTCAAGCAGTATAACGTAGTGTGCCGACAACTAGCTTGGGTAATTTATTCAACAAGTCTCAATTGTTATTGTCATTCTATTCGTCGTGGTAATTCTTTTAGTACCAGCAAAGGTGATGTTGGAGTGAGGCTGGCCTATATCGCAACGTTGCTTAACAACATAAATTATTTTTGTGATATATATAACACATATTGTATTTACTTCTAATGCATACGCATGAATAATTTATAACATAGTTTTTAATAAGTATGTAGTATTAATTTTTTTTTTATTTAAATAGTTAAAAGTATTATTTAACAGTATTATACTACACACTTTTTTGTTATAAGTACCGTATATATTTTCATTTGTATTTAGTGAAAAGCTGTTATTTTGACATTACAAACCGACACTTAAACTTTATTTACCTCGGTATTTTACAAAAACATTACTGAGATTTTTATTCTGCCAGTCTGTCAATTTATCCTGGCCCTTTCTTTTATAAGGCGCCTTTGTTCTAAGTCAGCGCTTAACTAAAAACCCACCTGATGGTAAGTGGTGATGAAGCCTAAGATGGTGAAGCGCACTCACTTAGGAAAAGCTTTTTTAATACAGTTGCTCAAAAAGTGGCGTATTGTAGGGACGTATAGCGTTTGTGATGTGGGCTATTACATACTCGTGCTTTTTCTTTACCTTTTCCGAACTCGTACGTTCTCTTTCCCAACTGTCAAAATAACGTCTATTAAAAAGAAAAAACCAACCACGAAGTTTTTACTAAAGAAATTCATAGAAGTTTTTATGATTCATGCAAATATTTCTAAAAAGAAGCTACTAATTTGTTTCAATATCAGATTTAATTATTTGAATCAATGAGTTAGGTTAGGTTTCATTTCATTTCATCTCATTAAATTTAATTTTTATTTCATATCAATAAAAAATTCTACTGAAGACATGGCTGTATGGGCATAGTTCCCTTTGCCTACACAGAATGGGTGAAGAAAACAAAAAAAATCTCTGCTTATATTCTTTTACGTTTGGCACCATTTTCCAAAAATGTTCTTTATTAAATTGCTTCATTTTTTCGCAACTGTATTAAAATAGTTGTTCAGTACACGTGCGGAACCGTCATTGCAACATGTTCCGACTGTCAACCCTCACCTTCGGCTGCGCCTCGGCTCGGGTAGACATTTGTCGGAACTCTTTGCAATGACAGGCTTTCCGCACTCGTAATGAAATATACTATTTCACTCTTGCCTTGCAGACACCCACACTGTAATCGGATGGAAAGACAGATGCTGGCAACTTATTCCAGTCATTTGCTGTATGCATGATGAACGATGTAGCAAACCGTCTGGTTTGCGCTTCCTTTAATCAACGAAGAAATTGATAAATTAGTGCAAATGATCAAATCTAAACCTAAATAAAACAGTGTTAGACTATTATCCAAACACTTTATTACAATTATTTTTCACTAAATTGGCAGTTAAAGCCCAATGTTTTTATGTCGTTTCTTTTGTATGTACCTACTATTGAAAAATAAATATACTAACCTATTTTATTTACATACTTATAATAATCACTTGTACAACAATTTATATACAAAGACTTTAAAACTTAAGTTTGAAATCTTTAGAAACAATTTTCATAGGTGTTGGTTTCTCATCTGTTAATTTGTTGTCTATGAGCAATCTGATATACTGTCCTTGTTGGTTTGCAGGCAAAGAGAGTCCTAATGCTTCACAATTAAGTATTATTTCTCTGCAACCTCGAAGATCTCGGTTTCTCACTGAAAAGTAAATATTTTTATTTTAAAACACGTAAATTTCTAATACATTATTATCACTGTTGGGGCTCAGCGCTCGTCTAACAGTGTAGCAAACGGACATCCTCGCATATATGTATATTATTATGATTTTTATATTAACATTATTTCGCCGAATAGTGGCGGCGTAGGAGAATCCATTAACCCATATCATCCTGTAGGTGTTTGGGGCGACAAAGGGAAACTGAAACAGGAGATGGAAAGCAGCATCTGCCTGATAACAATTTAACCCATTCGCTGTCCCATGTACTAAATATAGTTCATTGCTATTATCTTACTATTGTGTCTAAAAATCGGACAGTGAAAATATTAAAATAATAAAATACTGCTATTGCTACCCAGCCTGCTTAGCGTAGTAAACACAAAATATACCACATATGAGGCATTCTATGAGGGAGGCCTTGCTTAAGTGGACGTTGATTGTCTGTTATTATGATAATGTTTACATTTTGTGACTGTTAAAGAAATATGTTCAAATAGTCTTCTTGTTATTTCCTCTATTTCTAAAGCAGAGTCATTTTTTATTATATGTCTTTTGTTTATATTTCTGTGTTTCTTACAGTTATTCATTTTTAATATCATTTCGACCGGACGGTGATCAGAAGCAAAGTTAAGTTTTCTGATTGTTGATATGTTATTTATATTAGTTTTGTTTTTTATTAAGAAGAAGTCAATTTGGGTTTTATTTATTTTGTTAGGATGCTCCCACGTCCATCTTCTACTTGTTCTTGATTTATAGAATGTGTTTCCCACCTTTAGATTTAATGTCTGTGCTAGGAGTATAAGTCTGTCGCCTCTGCTATTCCTTGTTCCGTAGTTGTATTGTCCTACATGATGTTCTTCACCAAATTTTCGTTGACCAATGTGGCTGTTAAAATCACCCATAATAAATTTGTATTTAGCTTTGCTTTCCCAATATGCTATTTCAACATCAGTCATGAAGGTTTCCACCTCTTCATCGGAAGCGTCGAAGGTTGGTGCGTACACTTGAATAAATGTATATATTATTTTATTTATTGTTAGTTCCAAGCTTAATACTCTGTCTGAAGTGTGGGATATACTTGTAACATAATTTTTTATTTCTTTATTTATTAAAAATCCAACTCCATACAGTCCCTTTTTCACTCCATAACAATACAACAGATTTCCAGATTTAAGTTCAATCAGCGTTTCTCCCTCTCGTCTCACCTCGCTCATACCTATTATGTGCCATTGAAAAATTTTTAAACTCTCTTCCAGTTCCTGGATTTTATAGTTTTCCCTAAGAGTGCGGACATTGAACGTCCATACATGTAAATTTTCTAAAAATTTGTCATTTGTTGGGGGGTGTTGGTCTTTATCAGTCCACGGACTGACCAGGATACCTGTGGACTGTTTTGTGGTTGAGTTTTGTGTTGGTGTTGGGTTTAGTTTAATGAGTTTTTTGAGGTTTCCGGTACTGTTGTCGGTTGCTTGTTATTTAGGGAAGTCCCTGGTATTGAAGATGTTCTTGATCTAGACATATAGTTCAACATATTATTGGTCTTTGATATTTCTTCTTTTGTCTTTGTTATAAGCAAATTTTCAGTAGTGCTTATGAAAGTGTTATTTACGTTAACTCTTTTTTGTGATGGAGATTTTGGTGAACCAGATGTCCCCCTTTTTCTTTTTTCACCAAGTGTGCTGTCCGGTTTATACACTATTACTTTGTTTCCCTTTATGTAGGCTTTATTTCCCTTCTTCCATTCTTCTTCTACCTTTGGTTGTAATTGTTTACGTAGTTCTAGTTCTTCTTTGGAGTAATCTTGCTTTATATATATTCCTTGGGGTAAGTTTTGTTTATTTTTCAGTATAAGTTGTTTTTTCCATGATGTTGTAAAGCTTACTACCACAGGACGGTTTTTGTTGTAATCTCTTCCTATTCTCAGGATTTTGCTAATCTCTTGACTGTTCAACTGGGTTCCTGTTTCTTCAATAACTTCTTTAATGTAGTCTATTAATTCGCACTCTTTTTTCCCTTTCTCCTCTACACCAAAGAAAACCAAGTTGTGTTCTCGCTTTTCTTTTTCTATAGCACTTAATTTTTTCTCTAGTGTTAAGACTTTATTTTTAAGTATAGCATTTTCTTCCATGATAGTTTTCATTTTCTCGTCCAATGCTTCCATAACATTTCTTGTCACCGATGTTGTTATGAGCAATGTTTGTTGTTCGAGTTTTTCATCTATTTTTGATAATAATAGTTCCATACTTTTTTCCATTTTGTTGGTAATTTTAATTCTCTAGTAGCAACCCTGAATTGGCTTCAACAAAGTTTTAATTCACTTGTAACACTAAAACTTCACTGTAAATGTCAGTTGGTGACTTGGTGATTGGTTATGTTGGTAATAGTGATAACACTCTATTTACTCTATGATTATAACCGATGTTCACGATTTTAGGTTATGTTATTTAGTGTTAATCGCAGATTTTTCGCAAGACGAACAATATTTCCACTGTGATCACTTCACTTAACTTTATATCAATGCTTTATTTTGACGCAGTTGTGTCAAGAATATGTGATTATCCACTTTTTACACTATTTTTACGAAAATATTCACGGAGGACTTCAATATACGTGTTTACGATACAATAGCCGGAACCGGAATCTAAAAATTTAGAAAATGTACAAAATGAATACAATCTCCTAGAGAAAATAATGAACACCGCTATGAAAGAAACAAAGAAAGTACAACCGCAAATGAAAAAAGATATTTTATCAGAAGAGACCAGAAGATTTCAAAATTTAAAACAAACATTGACAGAAACGAAAGCCAAAAGTAGAGCGGACAAAAATAGACTTAAAGCAGTGAAAAAAAGACTTAAAAAACTCGTCAAAAGAGATTTGGAAAACCAGAAACTTGCGGAAATAGAAAAAGTTTTGGCAGAAAACTGTGCGATAAAACGAGCAGAGAAAATTATGTCTATCGGCAAAGAACTAATACCAAACTTAAAACATGAGGGGAAAAAAGTTGAGATGAGAAAGGAAATTGTAAACACTGCAACAAAGTATTTCAAAATACTATATACCAATGTCAACTATGACCCGAGTACCTACGAGAAAAAACAGTGTAAAGATGTTGAACCATTCCTGGTAGACGAGATAACTTCAGCGATATCAAAACTCAAAAATGAAAAAGCTTGGGGCCAAGATGATATCTGTAACGAAATTATAAAATACTCCAGCTATGAGTTACATAAAGTCATCACACATTTATTCAACAATATTTTGAAAGAAGAAGTCGTACCAAAACAATGGCATTTGTCAAACATAACAATATTACACAAAAAAGGAAGCAAGGATAACCTAGATAATTATAGACCCATAAATCTCTCCTCGGGCTTGTACAAACTATTTATGATAGTCTTGAGAAGAAGAATAGAGAAAACTTTAGACGAACAGCAATCGGTGGAACAAGCAGGATTCAGACCAACATTCAGCACAATTGATCACATACACTCAGTCACCCAAATTATAGAGAAATGTATGGAATATGGCTACACAGTATATATGACTTTCATTGACTTTACCAAAGCCTTTGACTCAATTTACCATGATTTTTTATTCGAAACTCTTGAAGAACAAGGTGTTGACCAAAAATATTTAAATATCCTAAAATATATTTATAGAAACAGCAAGGCAAGAATAAAAACAGACAAAATGGGGGAACCATTTCCATTGCAAAAGGGTGTCAAACAGGGTGACCCGATTTCACCAATACTCTTCAATGCAGTTCTGGAGAAAGTTTTCAGAAATATGTCTTGGTCAAATAAAGGATTAAGAATAAATGGAAGATACCTAAACAATCTGAGGTTTGCAGACGATGTCATTATCTTTGCTGAGACCACAGAGGTCTTAGAAGATATGCTCAGGGAATTTGAAAGTAAGTGTAGAGAAACAGGCTTGGAAATGAATAGGCAAAAATGCAAGATCATGACTAATGGGGAGCACAAACCTGTTAGACTTGGAGGAGCCCTACTGGATTATGTAGAAGACTTTACATATCTAGGACAAGTCATGTCATTTAAAAACAACCAAGATAGGGTGATAGAACAAAGAATAAACAAGTCATGGAAAAAATTTTGGAGCTTAAAATTTATTATGAAGAGTGACCCATGCATAAAACTTAAAAGTAAGACATTTAACACCGCCATCCTACCTACCTTAACCTATGGATCACAAACATGGAGTCTTACTAAAGCTCAATTAAATAAACTAAAAGTAACTCAAAGAGCAATGGAAAGATCAATGCTTAAGATTTCTAAAAAAGACAGAATCAGGATTACAGAGATCCGGGACAGGACGGAGGTGGAAGATGTCGTAAAAAAGATTAGGAAAAGCAAATGGGCATGGGCTGGACATCTCTGCAGACTACCAAATGATAGATGGACTAAAACAATTACAGAGTGGATTCCGATGGACAAAAGAAGGAAAAAGGGGAGACCAAAAAGGAGATGGCGGGACGAACTCTCGGATTTTGACAAATACTGGCACAGGACAGCCCAGAGTAGAAAAGATTGGGATAAGTTGGGGGAGGCCTTTTGCGCTAATAGCGACATATAAATAATAAAATATAATGAAACAACTTAAAAATTTAAAGAAAAAAAAATATTTATGTGTAAAATAAAGGCTACTAATACTAAAAAAAAAAAGAAATATGTTAAATGCAGTACAGCCAAAACTTAACCAAAAAGAGGTTCTTTGCAGTAAATTTTGGCTGTAGCAGCAGACAGACACATTCTTGCCCTAAAATCTTCCCTATAATGAGTGGAGGGTGTGGGACATACATATGCTGTAGCTTTACTTTTATACTTTTCCTCTTGGTGGTTGTTTTACATGTATAATGTTAACTGGCTAATTTCAACCACAGGGGAAACTGAAATCTATTGAAAGCCATAGTGTGCAGGTCGTGTGCAAATATTTTATACAAATATAGGAAAATTTTATCTAAACATAGTGCTTAAAGAATAACTGAATTACATTACATAGCCAAACAAAAATAATTAAAGTCTTGCATAACCTCTTTCTGCTTCATCAGCCTGTAAAAGTTCATAGCCGGACAAACCTTCCATCTTACGAAGGATATGCCTCAATAATCTTTTTTTTTTATAAAATAAGTGTGACGAATAAGCACAGACTTCACCTGATGATAAGTGTATGCTGTGACCCATAGTCATCTACATACATCTAACTAAATAATTATCATCAATTAAAAATCAAAATGTAGATACGTTGTCACCCCTGAGGACTGAGACGGAATGTCTCATTTCCAGTATAAAGGGTCTCTGGTTCTTTACACTCATCATACGAAACACAGTAGCATTAAGCTACTATTTTACACTGGTCACTTAGTCGGCGGATTGATAATAGCAGTACGAAAGGTTTCACACTTTTAATGCTATGGCTATTTTATATTTGAGCTAAGACGAAATGGTATAACGCCATCTATCGGAAGCCATAAGATCTTTTTGGCATATCCCATAATCACCTCTCACAACACCTATGGGATTGATTGACTTGGCAAACACATCTACATAAAAGGCCGTGTGTCAGTCAAGTTCGAGTGTATATATTTAGCATTTTAAGTATCTTTTGAATCCCTATAACTCTAAAACTATTAAGCCTACACACTGATAATTTTGCATAACTAATAAGGACTTCTATCAAAAAAAAAAACAAAACCCTAAGAACTTCTATATTGCATTGAAATTTGAAATTTGTCATCACGATAGATTATTAAGTGAACAAAGGGAAAAATCTATAAATATTAATTATTATTATCTAAAAATATATATTATATAATTTGGATATCGAAATTTAATTCTAACATATTAAAATAAAAATAGAAAGGAGTAAATGCAAGAAAAATTGTTAAAAATCATGTTACATACATGATTTGTTACTTTTTAGATTAATAAAAGTGTGAAACTATTTTTCAAAAACTGATGATTTATCACCAAGAGCATAAAGGTGAAAGGGAGACCGTATTTAATACAAATATTGGGATTGTTCCCTTCACTTTAAAAAGTTAAGTTGAGATCTATATCGGTGCTAGACTCTAATGCTGTTCCAAGAATGTTGTGCACTTCTATAGATCCTATGAATTATTTCGATGGATTTTTTGCACTCTTTTATATTTCAACTCTTTTATCGGCAAAACTGACAACAACCCAAGGCAATGTTTACACTAAACTTGACCCCATTTTCACATTTATGTTTTGAGATTTATAATAACATTCCCAGATATCTTGTTTTGTCACTATCCCCTTTGCCGGTAAAGGTTTTTCTTTTTACATCTGGTATATACAAGAGATATAGTCATCTTTTGGATGCCACATGGTCCTTTTAGTTTAATAACCATGGTCGCCTCTAACTACACCATGGATGGAAAATGGAGTTATGGATTCCTTTATGCAATTATACAGAAAAGAACATGGATATCTACTACTAACATCAAAAAAGAAAGTTACAGATGTGCTGTAACTCCAAAGGTCTTAGATGGCATGACTCACAGTTTATAATACTGACTGTCTTACTTTTACCTTTTAATTTGAATGCATCAGTAGTTTATGTAGCTGCATTATCTTAATACACTACAGTTTAAAGATTTTTTTTTATAGAATCAGGGTGACATATTAGCACACAGTCCACCAAAAGGTAAGTGGATACTGTGGCCCATAGGCATCTACATTTATCCTTGATTAATAATCAAAATGAAAATGCATTGTCACCCTTGAGGACTAAGATGGAATACCTGGTATTGAGTTAAAAGGGTCTCCAGTTCTCTACACTTACCATACAAAACACAGCAGCATTAAGCTGCTATTCTGTAAGAGTGTGGTCCTACTCCGATGGAGCTGACCCTTTCGAGCTACAACCATAATATAACTGCAGCATAGCTCTACCACATAAAAAAGGATGTATAAGTAGATAAGAGTGATATCCTCATGTAGTCATCATGGAGAAGTCCTTTCTAGGTTCCATATGGATGCAATCTTTAACAAATTTATTGCAAAACCTATTAAAAACATCAACTTACATTTGTAACCAAATAGAACTTGTAACACTTTTACATACTCCGACATCATTTTATATTTGAGCAGGGACTGTAGTAATCGCAGCACAGCATCATCATTGTATTCTCTTAAAATGTTAATACTAAATGTTGTTGCTCTGAAAATGAAAAAGTACATATTATGTAACATAAAAATATTTTTAGTTTTCTTAACTTTGACTGTCATCAAGCATTAAGCCTACCATAAACCTTAGCTTTAGGTTGCTATAAAGAATAAATATACACATTATTGATTTCATGTGTGTCATACCTGATTTATCTCAAAAAAAAAATACTTAGTGATTAGTTAATAAATACATAAATTTACCATTAGTAGCAATAAGAGTTCATAGTTAGACCACAATAAAACTGTGTGTGGTTTTTGCTAAATAAATAAAAATGTCATAATTCAAGAAACTTACTTATCTTTTACAATATTTTGTAACTTTTCAGAGTTCTCCAACAATTCATTGGCTAACATTTGATCAGAGAACCAAGTACTTGACCAGCATATATACCAAAAACAGATGAGGGGATAGTTATCTTCCAGTTTATTACTAAATTCTAAAACATACTTCTTGAAAATGACTAAAGTAGCTTCTGATCTATTTAAAACAGAGTCTTGGATTAATTCTCTGAATATGATCCTATAAAAACCTCTCAAACCAACATACTTCTTATAACAGTGAGAAAGTATTGAAAGACCTTTCTCTGAGTTTCCTTTATAACAATGTGCTTTCGCTAAGTAGTGCATAAACTCTCCATTGCGCTTATAAAGATTTGGATCCACAATGGAACAATACTTTTGAAGAAGTATCACTTTGTCAGTTTTGCCTGTTATACTATAAGTTCTGAATAATTTCTTCAATGTACTTTCACTTACTAACTTGCGATAGCCACTGCAAGTATTTATCAATTCACTAATTTGTTTATCTTTATTCCTTGCAAGAAGATCCAAAATGACATTGTTAATCTGCTCACTACTCATTTCTGCATATTCTTTAGTTTTACTACTTTCGGTTTCACTTGAATAACATTTAATATCGTTATCACCAAATAACCGATTGTTTTGTTGGAATTTCGTTCTTTGCTGTTGTAATAAATCATTTGTAAAGAGATCAACGGTAACGGTGTCTAAATTCGTAGAATTATCACAAGCCTTTGGTATTAATCCAGATATTTTATTCTTTGTATTTGTAACGTATGGCGTCCGAAAGAAATGGAAAAGGATCTTTAATTTGGTAGCCTGCATTTTACAATTATAAGGTTTATAAACAAAATAAATGTTTATTATTATGCATTATGTACACATATGATTTTCAGTAAATACATCTTATGCTACATATTTGAAATAGGTAAAATTAAAAGAAATCAAATAAACATTTATGAAACTATTTGGAATTTACATACTTAATTCATTTCAAAATACAATTTTAATTATGAATAAAAGTTACGCACAATACCCCATAGATTACTAATACATAGTATCACAGACTAACTAGGTAACTAGTAGATTCTAACGTAGTATCCACTAAGTAGTCTGTGGAATGTGGATTACTCATTGATATATAAAAATCTATTTTTCTTATATCTATGGGATTACTATATATTAATGATGGGTCAACTCGAGTTACTAACTCGAGTTAACTCATCAAGTGAGCCAGCAAAAGAATAAGAGCGCGATTCGTTCGTTGTATGCGCGCTTTGTGTTTTAAAGAATATCTAACTACAATTTGTTATTTACAATTTTATAATAGCTAATTTATGTAATTTAATTTCTTTTATAATTTTGAAGGGTTTACGATCAATATAGTTATGTAAGTCACAGACCTATTATTCTAATACCCGAAAAGGGTGGTTCAGTTGTAAGATACACCATATTTTAAATTAACGTCAATTGTAACACTTAACTTACAATAAATATTTAATTGTGAAAACAAAAATGAATTTATTTACGAATATTTTGACTATGTGTGTGTATTTGACTGTACCTATATCTTAAAGCTAGACTAATATTGTTTCGTGAAGACTGCTACATAGCTTGTTTTGTTGTCAAATACAAGTATATATGCGATACATACTAAATATACCTTTTTATGTCAATCCTACATAATAAGTTTGGTAATTAGGGCTATCCCAACCCGCCAAAGAGCTAGATAACAAAACAAATTTATAAAAAAGTAATTTGTAACAAATCATTTATTCTGCTTCGTACTGCTAACTCGAGTTTAAACTCGAGTTACGTGAATTTCAACTCGAGTTTAAACTCGAGTTGTGTGAATTTCAACTCGAGTTAACTCGAGTTGTAATTTTTCCGAGTTGGCACATCTATACTATATATACACTCTCTACTATATATATATAGTATAATAGTAACTGAACTTGGGGCAGAGGTAGAAGTTTTTTCTGTCTACGGGAAGGTATGTGAAAAATAATCAATTTTCATATTAATCATTATTTTTTTCTTAAAATCGTATTTTAACAGCCGATTTTTTTTGGTAAAAGCAATAGATTTTTAATAAATCGATTATGTAAATTACACGTTTTAATCGATTTTTGTAAACAGCATCATCTGTGCGATGGATGTAAAAATGTGAAGTAAGTGAGTTTTGGCGGGAAATTGACCGGTGGCGGTTTGCTGCTCCTGTATTATTGTTTAAATAATGGTTTGAAGTGGACTTTGATATGTAAAAGTGTTGCGATTTTGTGTATTAAGTGTCTACGCATGTGAACTATTAGTGGAAACAGTGAAACAAGTGCTCTGATGGTGATGGATTCTCAAGATAAGCTGTTTGTTTGCATAGGCACCTTTAGATACCATCGCCAACTATCAGCTGTCTGCTGGATCAAGTTGCCGCCAAAATCTCCCAAGAACTGCACAATGTGACGCATCAACATATTGTGAAGCAGTATACTATGAAGGAGTGGGGAAATAACAATAAACCGAATAAAAATACTTAAGACTTGGCCTAAAGGTCTAGATACCAGGCCATAAACTCCAAAAAAAAAATGTGAAGTAAGTTATAAAATGAACAAGTCGATCAAAAGTCAGCGCCATCTGTATGTATCTCTATGTATATAAAACAGTTTTCCTTTCGTTTCGTATATTTTCAACAGTTTTCTTTCTCCGCTAGGAGTAAAATTTGTATCCTGTGATTTTATTTTTTTCATTCTTTGGAGAGCGTAAATAATTGTTTAACAATAAAAATGTCTAAAACACCTAAAAGTGGCTGGCAGAAATATTTTATAATGAAGAAGAATAATACTAGAGCACAATGCAAATACTGCCCTAAACAATTAAGAACATATAGTCATACTAAAAATTTAAAACATATTATCCATGGTTATGGTAGTGGTACCTGGATAGGTACCGTAAATTAATATATTTTATATTGAAATAACCATGGTTCTTATCAGGCCCGTGACAGCTTAGTTCCATTCTATGCAACTTGGCGCTACCGTCGCAATTTGTTCTCTGGCTACGGACGCCATTTTAAAACGCCATATTGTGTTAATGTCAAATCAAATTGACAAAATTCAAAATTATCGATATTGATTCTGAGTTTAGCGCAAATGTATTTCCTCGCATTTATGTTGCATTGACATCTTGGACACAAAGTTTCCTCCGTTATTTGTGAAAATAACAATACTCCGTTTTTGTGCTGGTCGTGTGCATATTGTATACTATGATACTATCTTAACGGAATACGAAAAGTGCTATGTTGGTGCAGATTCCCTAAAAACGATAATTTAAGAAACTTGTGGATGTATTTCATAGTATTCACAAATTCCTAGATCATTGAACTTCCCAAAGAACGTTTCTTGACTAGGCAGAAAACTTCGATAGGTACTCTTATCCATGCTTGCTTACTAACGATTAAATAGCTCATGGCGTGCCTCTGACTGCAACAGGCGAGTATATTTATTACTTATCATGGTACTTAAGTTTCGGCTGCTGAAAGTTGTGATTTCTAAATAGGTATCAAGTGGACTCCAGTAATGAAGTATTGAACCATACATTTTGAATAAAAAACATTGCATCACTTTGTGATTATTTCACCAAACATTTTTAATTATAACTACATAGTATAAAGTGGCAGTCACTTAATAAAATTGTGTCTGTAACTATGGAAAGACAAAAAATTATATAGATATTTGCTATGAAAATGTATCGTTATAAAAATATCACTAGAACAAAGCTTGCAAAAAAGCAACAATTTATTACAAATTTTCAAAGATGCCGCTTGAATATGGTTTAATTTTTAGTTTTGTTTTAATAAATAATGATGTAATTGACATCTTCTGATCACAACACTTTTTACATTTATAAATTTTTTACAGTATATTTTATTTCACTTTCCTTATTTTAAGGTTATTGAAATATTCAAGATTTATTAAATCACTAATGTCCAAAATGCTTATTATCTGTTATTATATAGTTATTATATAGATCTGCTTTTCGGCTGGTACTGGATGGCAGGAGCTCGTACTATCTGGGAATCTCATTAAAGCATTCATACAAGCATCTTCAACTTGTGCAAGTTGTGACTTGTCGTCATAGTGCAGGAACATAGGGCCTTGTAATTGCAAGACTGAGTGAGCGAGACCATTTCAGAACCTTTTACTTGTAGTTATGGGTATTAAAGAATTAAAATTATAGTTTAGAGGGAGTGGTAACAGGATGGCTGTATAGTATTTATTTCTAAAACAAATGTTATTTGACTTCCCTTAATTTTATACATTATTCTATTTTTACTTAGTTGTTATAGCTTATGGGGTATATAAATTTATTTGTTAACTCTACTGATTTTAATGATTTTAACAATTCTCAATATCTACAAGTAAAATTCCTAATTTACTAAAGATTACAGAAGTTTCGATTTCATTCCATCTAGTGTAGATTGATTGGAAATTGTGTAAAAATAAATCAATCATTATTCCCTTCATACATGCTCTACGGTTTAGGGTACTCTTGACCTGGCCTTATAAAAACGAATTCTGAAATATTTAATGATTATTTAATAATTGACAATAAAATTATACAATTTCATCAGACAGCTTTACTTAGATAAAGCGTTTTCGGCACACTGTTTAAAATCAACAATAAAGTTCCATCTATGTTTCATGAAATGGAGGATATTTATAAATTTAAAAATAATTTAAAACATCTAACTAAGAAATGATAGGCATATAACAATGACATATATCTTTTTCAAAGATGTTACCTGTACTATTTTACTTGTATTCACAAGAATTGAATTTGAATTAATCTTGATAAAATTATTTCTTATAAATGTTACTTATTTTAACAAGTGATTCTATTTATTTCATTAAGGTAATCTTGTTCACTAGTGTGTATTGACGAATTTTTAAATTACCAATCATATTTTCATACTTTATAGCATCTTTATAATCGAAGTCACCAGTAATAATCTTAATAATATATCTTAGGGCGTTTAGAATGCCTTGTTTGACTCTAAATGAAGGTGATAACTGTTCAAATTGTTCAATACTGGAATTTGTTTCGAATTCAGTTTGAAATATTATAATAATTAATTGAATGTTTAGAGATTTTTTGTCAAAATATTTCTAACATGCTTATTTAAGTATTTAAGTTCATGTATCTATTAATATTAAATTCTAACTGCTCATGCGAAACATTTAAATCTGAAACTTTAATTATAATCCACTTTTCATCACTTACACTGAGATGGCCATCTCTAAGTAACACACCAATATTAATATTATAAGGCCATAGGAATTGTTTTCTGCTACATGTAATTCTAAATTTGATGTTGTGGTTAAATCTAATTAAAATTATTTGCAAAACGAATGAATATCTAAAACCTTGTGAATTATTATGTATGGATTGTGAAGTTGGTTAACTATAATTTTTTTTTAAGTAGGTATTGAAACCACTAAGAATATTTTCTAATTCAGTTTCAATTTGATCTAGAATCACCAGAATCTTTCACTTAAAAAGAGATGCATCTTATCCTATAAGGTAATTGTTATATATAATATTATTTAGTTTCTATGTATAATCTTGTTGATGCCATAAAAAATTTTATAATATATTAAATAAACTTGAAATACTTTGATCGCCATCAAACATGCTGATCAAACTTTTTTAGATCCTTAGGTCTAATTTGAAGAAAGTGACATACTTTTTTCTCTTCTCTGTTCCATTTTTATTTAAAAATCAATACATGTATACAAAAATATTCTGTTAATTATTCTCTTTCTATAATT